CTGGGGCCTCCAGCTGGCAGATCTGTTTGCTCTTCCCCCAGCCCAGAACCAAGCCCAGGCATCTCTGGCACTCATTGCCTGCTGGTGTCACAACCCGCTTCCTCATCCTGCCTGACCCGAGGGTAGGGAAGTGGTCAGAGTTAGGGTGACCGTGGTTAGAGAAGACCCTGACAGGTGTGGGCATGCAGTGGGGTGAGTGTGGAGGACAGATGGCCATGCTGGCTGGGACTGGTGACTGGCAGGCCCCTCAGAGGTGGTTGGCTGCGTGGTTCGGAGCACTGGTTCTGGAGGCAAACACCCTGGCCTCACTCCCAATTCGGCCTCCGATGCCTGATCATCACGGGCGACACATGCAACTCAGGCTGTTTCATTATTTGGGAAACAGAAATTGCCCAGCCCCAAAAGGCCGTCATGGGTCTTGAATTCAATGATGTGTCAGCCCCACTTACTGCAGGGCTGGGCATATATAGCACTGCAGCTCCTGTTCTCCCAGACAGGAAGGCCCATGCCCTGATGTCCTCAGACAGACTGTGGGCATTTGCCTAGGGACAAGGGGTGAGGTGTTTTTCTTTTTTCTTTTGAGTCAGAGTCTCATTCTGTCATCGAGGCTGGAGTGCAGTGGCACGTAGCCTCGACCTGCTGGGCTCCGGCGATCCTTCCGCCTCAGCCTTCCAAGTAGCTGGAACTATAGACACCCGCCACCATGCCTGGCTAATATTTGTGATTTACTGTAGAGATGAGGTCTCACCATGTTGCTCAGGCTGGTCTCGAGTACCTGAACTCAGACGATCTTTCCTCCTCTGCAAGTGCTGGAATTACAGGCCAGGGTGAGGTTTTCATCAATTTCTTGGGGCTGATGTGAAGGGCCTTACTGGGGATGGGTGGGGGTCAGGTGGCCTGAGGGCCAGCCACCTGCAGTCTCCTCTCCTCCATTAGCTGGATGGTTGGCTTGCCATGTGTGTGAGAGTTCTTCAGGTGTAGTGGCTTCCGCCTGTAATCCCAGCCTGCCCTGGCTCTGTGTGTCCTGCAGGGAGCCACCGACTCTCTCTGAACCTGATTCTGTAGCTGTACCGAAGGTTCTTACTGGGGTCTTTACCCATTTATGGGTTTAAAACACACTCAGGAGCCAAGCCTTGTGCCGGCTGCAGTGATGCTGAGCTGGACCAGTCCTGCCTCTGCACTCAGTCAGGGGTACAGGATGTGACAGGGCCAGAGACACACTCCACGGAGGGTGCACTGGCACCGGAGTATGGCTGAGGTCAGCTGTGCCTGGGACGTGAGGAGGAGGACAGGGCAGGCAGCAGGACAACGTGCACAGGCACGCAGCACAGCAGAGCTTGTTGGCATGGGTTTAGGCTGCCCAGCATGTGACCCTTGCCCAATTGGGAAACTGAGTCCATGTCTCCGCAGGCTCCATCTACGAGCTGTGTGGGAATGAGTGCTGCCTTTCCACGGGAGACCTGATCAAGGTCACCCAGGTTCGCCTCCAGAATGTGGTCTGCGAGAACCCGAGGACGGGTCAGACTACGGTGATCAACCCCAACTTCCAGGGTAAGGTGGGCACTTCTGCCTCCCCACATGCCCTGTCACCCTCTGGTCACCCTGTGGGCTACTCGTGGGCTTGCCAAGCCCAACTCTCATTCCCGCCACTCTGGGTTTGCGCCTGAGGCTCCTCTCCCACTGCCCAGCGTCCTTAGCGTGGTCTGATGGTGCCCTGAGACTGGCGAGGTTGTGTCCTCTCCCTGTCAATCTCTGATCACGTCTGTCTCGGTTCCAGGTCTTTGTCCAGGTGCCTGTCTCTGTGTTCACTCAGAGAATTCACTCACCAAACATCTGCAGACTCCATGGGCGCCAGGTCCCGGGGGGGCTGTGGATGTGGGGCTGAGGGAGAACCAGGTGCAGCCCCTTCCAGTGGGGTGCTCCAGGGCGGCAGTGGAGGGAGGGCAACAGTACAAGGAGGCATGCGCTTTGGAGAGGGCTCTGGGCAAGAGTGAGCTGCCCAGGTTTCTGGGAGGGCTTCTTGGAGGTGGTGGCATCTGAGCCAGAGGCAGAATCCCAGCTAGAGGGAGGAACATGTGCACATTGGTGCTCAGTTATTGCAGGAGGCGTGTAGTGTGGTGGACCATGGGTTTGAACCCTGAAGCCGGAGGCTTGGACATGAGCCTCAGCTCTGCCGGGTACTAGCTGTGGCCTTGGGCAAGTTCCCAGAATTTCTTGACCTCAGCTTCCTCCTCTGTCATGGGGATGACATGAGATGATATGTGTAAAGCACTTGGGGCCAGCCCAGGGAGAGACAGGCAGGCTCTGAGGGCTGGCCCTTGTGATCTTATTGTGGCTATCTGCCGGCCACAGGGGACATGGTTTCTAGGAGAGGGCCAAGGGCTGGAGAACTGGCCAGGGGCTAGGCCATCGGGGCTCTGCGGTATGCGGATGCAGTTTGGTCTTCATTTTGTTTTTTTAGGGACAGGGTCTCTCCCTGTCACCCTGGCTGGAGTACAGTGGCACCATCATGGCTCACCACAGCCTTGAACTCCTTGGCTCAAGTGATCCTTCCACCTCAGCCTCCTGAGCAGCTGAGACTACAGGTGCACCCCACCATACACAACTAATTTTAAAAAAAATTTTTTTAGCCGGGTGTGGTGGCTCACGCCTGTAATCCCAGCACTTGGAGAGGCGGAGGCAAGAGAATTGCCTGAGCCCAGGGGTTTGAGACCAGCCTAAGCAACTTGGCAAGACCTCGTCTCTACAATAAATCAAAAATTAGCGGGGCATGGTGGCACACGTCTGTAGTTTCAGCTATTTGGAAGGCTGAGGCTGAAGGATTGCCTGAGCCCAGCAGGTTGAGACTGTGGTGGCCATAAGCATGACATTGCACTCCAGCCTGGGCAACATAGTGAGACTCCGACTCAAAAAAAAAAATTTTTTTTTTTTGTAGAAACAGCGTTTCACCATCTTGCCAGACTTGTCTCAAACTCCTGGCCTGACGTGATCCTCCTGCTTAGATTATAGGTGTGGGCCTAGATTATAGGTCTTTATTTTGAATGCATTGAGGGTTTTTAATATGGAAGTGATGTATGTATTTTGTATTTTGGTTTTTTCTTTTGAATTATTAATTTTCTAAACTTTTGTTCTTTTGAAGTATATCAAAATAATTTCAAATTTACAGAGTTTGCTAAAATTGCTGTACTCCCTTTATCCAGATTGATCATTTGCTACATTTGTTTTCTCTCCCACACATACACATATACATACATACGTATGAATATATTACTTTATGTGTCTGTGTATATGTGCATATATGTGTGTTTTTTTTCAGAACCATTTGAGGGTAAACTGCAGACATGATACTCCTTTACATCTAAAGATTACCCCTGAATACTATAGTGTGTATCTCCTAAAAACAGAACATTCATTCACAAAACTGTAGTTCTATGATGAATTCAGGAAGCTTAATTTTGGTATGGTCCTATTGTCTAACCCACAGTCTATATTTGAATTTCACCAACTGGCCTAATCATGTCCTTTAAAGCAGTTTTGTCCCTCAATCCAGAAGCCGGCCCCAGATCACACATCATATTTGTTGTGCTATTTTTTTTCTTTTCTTTTTTGAGTCACAGTCTGTTACCCAGGCTGGAGTACGGTGGCATGCTCATAACCACCGCAGCCTCGACCTGCTGGGTTCAGGCAATCCTTCCACCTCAGCCTTCCAAGTAGCTGGAACTACAGGAGCACACCACCACGCCTGGCTAATTTTTTGGTTTATTGTAGAGATGAGGTCTCACCAAGTTGCCCAGGCTGGTCTTGAATCCCTGGGCTCAGGCAATCCTCTCATCTCGGCCTCCCAAAGTGCTGGGATTATAGGCGTGAGCCACTGCGCCTGGCCTCGTTGTGCTATTTCTTAGTCTCCTTCAGGTTGGAACAGTTTCTCAGCCTTTCTTTGTCCTGACCTGGCCGTCTTTGGGGTGTGTAGACAGGTTCTCCTATAGAACGTCCCTCCATCCTGGTTTGTGCGATGTTTCCTTGATTGGATTCAGGCTGTGGGTCTGGGGCAGGAAAAGGTCGTGTCTCAGAAGTGACGTCATGTCCAGAAGGAAGGTATTTAGGCCGGTTGGTGGCAGGGGAATGGGAGGGGGAACAGTGGGGAGGGGCAGCCAGGCAGCCAGTGTCGGCAGGCGGGATGCGAGGGCAAAGGGGCTGGTTGGAGGTCACTTTCGTCAGTAGCTCCTGGGATTCTAGTTTGGAAGAGAGGGACAGTGGCACTGTCTCGGGTGTACTGAGCTGTGCTGAGGCATCTGGAGGAAACGGTGTGTTGGGAAGGCTCGAGGCAGGTGAGGTCAGGAGGTAGGAAGGGGCGGGAGTCCAGTGTGTCTGCTGGGGAATGTGTCCCTCTTCTGTTCTCTGTCTCTGGCGACGGTCCCGCTGGGTCCCTGCCCCCTGCCCCTCCCTGTCCATTCATGAACATTCTGCCTCTGTCAGCCCACGCTTGACACCTGTCCTTGGTGGGTTTTGGTTGGGCAATCTGCAGGGGCCAGACTGGGGCCTGGACCCAGCGAAGGCCTGCGCAACCCCGAAGCCCCTCGGTGACTCTCCCACCCTCTGTCATGCCCCACAGGCCTCTTCACCCCCCTCACCAGACCCCAAAGCTATCGAACCCTGGCGGAGCTGGTTTCTGCCGCGACTCAGAGTGCCAAGCAGCTGCCCATTTGCTTCACGTCGACCCACAGGATGGTCATGGAGGGCAGGGTAGTGACTGAGGACCAGCTCCTCACACTCACAGCTGTGGAGAGGCACCTCGGGACCCCCTGTGCCCGCTGTGTCCTGGGCACTGGGGACCAGGAGGTCATCCTGCACCTGCCCCTGTCCCAGAAGGGACCCTTCTGGAAGTGGGAGTCCAGTGCCCCTCGGACCCTGCTCCAGGCTTTGCAGGACCCGGCCCTGAAGGACCTTGTGCACAACTGCCCCACCCTACCCTGGCACTCCCTGATCTTGAAGCCCCTGTATGAGATCCAAGCCATCATGCACAGTGAGTTGCTGGGCAGGTGGGTGGGGCTGGTGGGAGAAACAGGGGTGCCCTGGCAGTGGTCTGACGGAAGACACCCTCAGCCCCATGGAGAGCCTAGAATTCCAGGTGGCTTGCCCCATACAGACCCTGAAGTTATTCTTTTTTTTTTTTTTGAGTTTGAGTCTCACTCCATTGCCCAGGCTGGAGCGCAGTGGCATGCTCACGGCCACCCCAGCATCGACCTACTGGGCTCCAGCGATCCTTCCGCCTCAGCCTTCCAAGTAGCCGGAACTACAGGTGCACACCTCCACGCCTGGCTGGCTAAGTTTTTTATTTACTGTGGAGGCGAAGTCTCACCATGTTACCCAGACTGGTCTCACACCCATGGGCTCTGGCAATCCTCTTGTCTTGGTCTCCCAAAGTGCTGGGATGACAGGCTTGAGCCACCGCGTCTGGACTTTTTTTTTTTTTGAGTTGGAATCTCACTCTGTCACCCAGGCTGGAGTGCAGTGCACGCTCATGGCCACTGTGGCCTTGACCTGCTGGGCTCAGGTGAACCTTTTGCGTCACCCTTCCAAGTAACTGGAACTACAGGTGTGTGCCACCACGCTCGGCTAATTTTGTATCGATTTATTGTAAAGAAGAGGTCTCGCCAAGTTGCCCAGGCTGGTATCAAATCCCTGGGCTCAAGCCATCTTCTCGCCTCCTCCTCCCAAAGTGTTGGGATTACAGGCATGAGCCACTGTGCCTGGCCTTCTTCTCTCTTACATTTAAAATAAAACGAAGCCGGGCTCGGTGGCTCAGCCTGTAATCCCAGCACTTTGGGAGGAGGAGGCGAGAAGATTGCCTGAGCCCATGGGTTTGAGACCAGACTGGGCAACATGGTGAGACCTCATCTCTATAATAAATCAAAAAATTAGCTGGGCATGGCAGCGTGCCTGTAGTTCCAGCTACGTGGAAGGCTGAGGCGGAAGGATCGCCGGAGCCCAGCAGGTCGAGGCTGCGGTGGCCGGGAGCGGCCACTCACTCCAGTCTGGGCCACAGAGTGAGACTCCAACTCAAAAAATAAATAAATAAATAAATAAAACGATGTTTAAAGGTTAAAGGAAAACAGCGGGTGGAATCTGGTACAGCAGGAAAATGCTAGCAGGAAAGAGAAGAGGAAGGCCGCTCGGCAAGTCCAGCCCGGTGCTGCCTGCCCGGGCGGGCCATGCGGGGGCTGCAGGGCCTGAGCCACTCCCTCCACAGTGCGCAGGACCGTCGTCAGGATCCCCTCCACTCTGGAGGTCGACGTGGAGGACGTCACGGCCTCCTCCCAGCACATCGACTTCATCAAGCCGCTGCTGCTGAGCGAGATCCTGGCCCAGGGCGGCCCCTTCCCGCTGCCTGCAGAGATCCTGGAAGTTCCAGAGGGGCCCCCCATCTTCCTCAGCCCGTGGGTGGGCTCCTTGAGGAAGGGCCGGAGGCTTTGCATCTACGGCCCGGCCTCACCACCCTGGCGGGTCCTGGCCTCCAGCAAGGGCCGGAAGGTGCCCAGACACTTCATGGTCTCCGGGGCCTACCAGGGCAAGCTGCGGCGGCGGCCGAGGGAGTTCGCCACGGCCTATGACCTGCTGGGGGCTTTCCAGCTGGGCCAGCCCCTCCGGGTGGTGGCCACAAAGGACTGTGAGGACGAGTTCACATCCCTGGCCGTGGGCGACCGGCTGGAGGTGTTGGGGTCTGGTCAGGCCTACGGCCAAGGTGGCGACCTAGATGTCTTGGTATGTCAGCGACTGAGTGACCAGGCTTGGGAAGAAGAGGAAGAAGAGTGTGGTGAGGAGGCAGAGCACCAAGAGGAGACTCTCCTGCCCCTCCACTTCCCAGGCAGCTTCGTGGAGGAGGTGAACGATGGCCGGCGCTACAGCCTGGCGGAGCTGACTGCCCGGTTCTCGCTGCCCTGTGAGGTCAAGGTGGTGGCCAGGGACAGCAGCCAGCCTGTGGACCCTCTGGCCTCCTTCCTGGGCCTGCAGCTGGAGGAAAAGATCACAGAGCCCTTCCTGGTGGTGAGCCTGGACGCTGAGCCTGGGCTGTGCTTTGAGATTCCCCCCCAGTGGCTGGACCTGACCGTTGTGGAGGCCAAGGGGCAGCCGGGCTGGCCGGCAGAGCGCCCCCCTGCAGCCACGGTGGAGGAGCTGACTGATGCCTTCTACTATCGCCTTCGGACGTTACCGGCCTGTGAGACCCAAACCCCCCCACCCAGGCCCCCCAAAAGTCAAGGCCTTGGTGGGCAGAGGAGGCAGAGCAGTGAGGAAGACGTCAAGGTACCAATAGGACTGAGTGGGCGGGCAGGGTCATTGCTTCATCATGCTTCTGTGTCTCTCATGATTCCTTTTTCTCTTTTTTGAGTTGGAGTCTCACTCTGTCGCCCAGACTGGAGTGCAGTGGCCGCTCCCGGCCACCGCAGCCTCGACCTGCTGGGCTCCGGCGATCCTTCCGCCTCAGCCTTCCGAGTAGCCGGA